GGGGTTCGCACTGCGCCCCAGAAAGTCCCACGGCCTCAAACGACGGCTTCTTCCTGGGAAATGGAGCGAGTCCTCCAGGCTCATGGGAGGGTGCGTCCAGGTGGCGGGCGGGGCGCAGGCTGGTCTGCAGGGCCTGGGACGCGAGGAACGCCTTGAACGGGGCCAGAGCCCCCACAGTGAGCGACGCAGGGCTCAGAGGTCTGGGGAGCGGGGGCGCTGTTGTTGGCCAAGGGGGGCCTCCCACAGTCCAGAATCCTCTGGGCGGCTCCCAGACCTGGGCCCCGCTCTGGCTGTCCAGCTCCCCGGTGGCTCTGTGGATCCTGGACGAGGAGAAAGTGGCTCCTGGGGTCTCGAGGGCTTGTGCTGAGAGCCCACAGCCCCCGGCACCACGGAACTTCAGGCAGCCCCCCCACGGAAGGGCCCAGCTCACTCTGGTGGTGGCTGCCCACGTCCTCCCTGGGCTCTGCGCTCGGCCCTGAGTAAAAGTTAAAAAAGCCGTGTTATGAACAACGTCAAACGCATGGAAAAGCACAGGAGCAGCGTCAGGAGGGCCGCGTGAGCGTGTGCCATACTGACTTCATCTGGTTTCCCCTAACTCTAATTTTAAAGTACGTTTCCAACTTCGTGACATTTGTGTGCCGTGTTCGGTGCTGTAGCTCCAGAGCCCAGAGGACCGTGGGGCAGTGGGAGCGGGCGAGCGGAGGAGTGGGGGGCCGTGGGAGTCGGGCCCTTCGGCACCAGGAAGGCTGGCTGTGGGCCTGCGGGACTGCTGGGTGCTCCGGTCTGGGGTGTGTGTGTGTGTGTGTGTGTGTGGCAGCAGGCGGCTTTGGTGACACAGGATAATTTTTTTTTCCCCCCCCCCCCCCCCCAGTCCTGCTTGTCACTCTTCCTGCTTCTCTGGAATGGGGAACAGCAAATGGTCACTCCTCCCACTTTTCTGATGGGGACACGCGCCCAACACCCATTCCAACGGGCGACAGTGCCACCTGCTGGAGCACCTGGGGTTTCCGCGGCTTTTTCTGGGGTGACTGGCAACTCCCGACGGAGGAACAGACTTTGCTGCCCTCTCTGAGTGCCTCGAGCATCGCATGTGTGAGAACTCGTGTTTCAGCCGTCACGCGTGGTTTAGAAAACACGAGAGGAGACCCGACTGTCCTGTGACCTCACGCTCTGCCCCCGAGTCAGCGTGGAAACACCTCCTCGGGGGCACCAGGGGGCGCTGGCGAGGCAGGCGACTTGGGAGGTGGGAGCAGGAGGAAAGGGAGACCCCAGCGGCAAGTTGTTTTCTGTCTTAATCCTTTTCCTTCCAGAAACGTAGAAAAGGCTTCCCAGCCCAGCTCTGTGCTGGAGAAAGGGGGGCGGAGGGGAGCGGGGGGCACAGCCGGCCCAGACCCTCCGTGCGAGCCTCAGGTCCTTGGTCCAGAGCTCAGCCCAGGAGAGCTCAGCAGGCCTGGGACTGGGGCCTGGGAGGGGTCAGAGGCAGCGTCTGTGGCGGGCGGTCTCTCTCTCAGCTGGCACCTGGCCAGGTGCGGGCGCTGCTCCCTTGTCACGGGGAGCTGAGGCTCGGAGGGGTCTCATGGGGCAGTTGCCCGGCACCCACCAGGCCTGTCCTGTGCCCCGACCCTCTCTTCCCTGCTGGGGCCTGTCTGTGGCTCCCCCCACACCCCCCTTTAGCTGGGACCTATCTGTGGCTCCTGGAAGGCGTGACCTGGGTCACCCTAAGCAGAGGCCTTGTCCCCACCCCCAGACCTCCGGCCTTGCTGCCAGCTCTGCCCAGCTCTCCTGCCCCCAACATGTCCACCAGGGGCCACTCCTCTGACCGGCGCCCACCGTGCGTGGAAGCCTGTAATTTCCTAGGGCTGAGTCACTGCCGGCGGCTGGAGCGGGTCTGCTGCCGTGGGCCCCGGGCGGCCTGGAAGGGAGCTGTGGGCTGCACCCTGCAGTTAGCAGCCCAGGGACCTGCTTCCGGGAGCCTTGCCTGCGAATCCTTAAAACAGAGTCCACACAGGAGTAACCACTGCGCTACCCCTGCACCCGCCCATGGCAGGCTGCGCTGGGCCCCGCAAACAGAGTCCACACAGGAGTAACCACTGCGCTACCCCGAACCCTTTCCCAGAGCTGACTCCTTCCTGAAGTCTTTACATCCACGACTGCACCCTCTTCACGACAGCGCTGCGTGAGGCTTGCTGTCCCGCCTCCTGCCGTCCCCACGTGTTCGGACCGCCTCTGCCGTCTGACGTCATGTTTTCTAGCTGCCGCGTTTCTGTGTCCCCTTTCGCTCTTCTGCTGGGCCGACGCGGGTTTCACCGTCGTCTTCTCTCTGTTGGTTCCGAAGCTGCAGGGTGCAGCCTTGGGCAGGCGTTGAAATACAGATACTAACCAGACATTGTCATCACCAAGTTGGAAGCCCTTCAGGATGCCACGCGCCTTCCACGGAACATAACGCCCCACAGGCTGTTACTGTTGTTAGAATCCCGTCTCACTCTCCGTCAAACACGAGGTTAGCTGTTCACGCAGCCAGTGGTAAGGAGTCAGCCAGCGTTTCTGTGTGCACCCTCGTTCCCAAGTCCTCTCTCCCCTCCTGGGCCGGCTTTCTCCGCACGATGTTCACCTGGGTGAGCCTTTCGGGATGGCTTGTCGGGGGCCACTCTTTCCGAGACTCTGCGAGGCCCAAGACGCCGGCCCCGTGTGCGCACCCCCCAGGATCGTTCAGCTGGCTGCGCAGTTCTCGGGGGACAGTTGTGTTCCTGTGGCCCTAGAAACTCCTGCCCCAGACCAGTCTGCTTTGTGGGTGATCGGTCGTCTTGTGTCGGACAGCTTCTCAGCTTTTCTCTCCTCCCTCCGATGTCGTACAGCGTCGCTATGAGGTGAGTCAAACCTCAGTTCTCGGACGGCTCCCATCGCTAACTATTCGCTTTTCAGCCCGACGCCCCTTTCATTTTTATCTGCTTCACATGCTCATCTCTGGGCCCCTTTCTCAGTCATCTCTCCCAGCTCCCTGGCTCCGTGTGTCCGACCGGGTGTATTCTCTGTGGAGCTGTGACTTTCAGGAAGCACACCGTTCAGTTCCAGGATTTCTCATCGACTCGTTCTCATGACGACCTGTTTTTGCTTCATCTAAGCCAGTTTTGCTTTCCTAGGTTTTTCTGGTCTTCGATGACCCTAAGCGTTTTATCTGAGAATTATTTCCGTTTCCTCTGGAGTGATGTCACCTCTCCATGGTGGCTTCTCTTGGTCGTCTTTATTAGCTTCAGCCTTGCTCATGTTTGGGGGATCAGGTTGGTAGGTTCGT